ATGAACTCCAAGACATTGTTTAGAATCAAATATTTCATTAGGAAGCACTACTGTGGTGTTCATTCCCCTCTTTATTACTTCTAGAAAGAGAATATGAAATTAGTTTTATTGGATAGCCATCGCCACTTGCCTTGACCCATTTTTACGAGGGCTCCATGTTCTGCTGTTTTGTGTTTCATTGTCATTTCTAAAATATTTGTTCCCATCCATCCCTCACAAAATGACAAAATTAGTATTTCATTTACTTCTGTGGTATGTTATTTTCCGCATATTTAAAGAGAGACCACAATGTTTGCAGTGAACACACAATACAAAAGAGCTTTCCTACAGCTTTCTGCTATGCCTTCTTTTATTTACTAATGTTCCTCCATGATTTATGATCTGAACTACTATAAATTGGTAGATTTGTCTAAATCGAAGCTTCTGAGAAAAAAAGGGCAGAGGGACATCATTTTTAAAAACTGACAAAAGTAACAGTGTATCAGAAAGCATATGAAAACCATTCCTGTTTCTTTAAGTCAACATTTGACTGCTCTTAAATCAATATGTACCTACCAGCTTCGGCAGACCTATCCGTCAGCTTATACAGAAAATGAAAGGCGAGGTTTCCCCGCTCTCTGAATAGTAGGTACTTTGCTGCAGCGGTGGCTCATTACTCCAGAGAACCGGCTTATCCACCCCAACACTCCAGAGACAACAGTTTGATTCATCATTTCCCCAACTGAGTCAGGTTTCTCTGCCCCAACAATTAACAATGAATTAGCACTATATTAAAGTGCCAGGCAAGATGGTTATTCTCTGGAGTAGTCACCTTGGACTGCAGACGAACAGTGGGAGAAGGGAGAGAAATTAGATTTACTGTGTCCCAGCATGCCTGCGTAACAAACACCGAATCCCTGGCTGGCAACGGGAACCGGCTGTAGGCACTTCTCAGCATTAACACTCCAGAGGGGAGTCCAATGCCAGCAAACAGCCCGGGAACGGTGGGATTTAGCGCGGGATGGAAAGTAAGGCAGCGTACCCTCACCTCGGCAGAGTAGGAAGCTAAACGCAGAAGCATGAGGACTGGTTGCTGCAAAGTGACTACTTTGCATGAGGTCTGTCCAACAGATCTACGTCAGAGCCAGGTCAGGCCAGGTCGGAGGTCAAGCCAGGATCCCACGTCTGATGGTGGTGGAAGAGGATGAGAACAGGCCAAAAATACAATAATGCTTTCCAGCACACCCTTCCATCCTCCAGCAACCTGTGGCTCAGGCACTCCGTAAATCAGAGGAGATGTCCCTGTGGTATCCAGCTAGCAACAAACTCACAGGTCTTTTTCTTAGTCCCACTGCAGTACTTTGTGATTACACCACATTGCACGGAACAGGAGGGAGAAAAAGTCACTTAGCGCACACCTGAATTTCCTTAAAAACCAAGCAAGCAGCTGTGGTGAGCTCAGCCTGCATGCACAGCAACGTGTAGGTGTAGCATGGATGCTCTGCAACCAGCATGTGAAGGAAAATCCATGCTCCGGCGTGTCCATATGGTCACACCCGACGCTGCCAGAGAACACAGCCATGTCACAGAGCTCCACAGGGCTCACGTTTTATGACTCCTCAGCACAATAACAAATAAATCAAGTGTGCAGGGAGGAATTTCTTGTGCACTGAGCTTCCACTATAGACATTTTTTATTTCAGAAACAGGAAAATATTTGATTAAATGGATTAATATATGGCCACCAGCAAAAATCTAATGGAAGAGAGAAAGACACCTAAAACTAAACAGTGAGGTATGGGCTAGTAATACTGAAAAGAGGGCAAGAACCTGCCACAGAAGAAGCAACAATCCCCTAAACATCAAGAGCCAAATTCTGTCCAGCAGATCTTCTACAGCGCTGCGCACAGCCTGCCGTTAGAGGACAGAAACCAAACCCAGCCTTGGGGTGATTCCCTCACTGAAGGTGTGTCTAGCCTGTAATCACCAAGTGAACTACACAAAGCCCATCACAATGAAACCTTTGCCATTTCCAAGGAGCCATACCGGGGGAAAAAGGCTGAATTTTATCTATCTGTTATCTTTTGCCTGGTCGTGCCTCTTGTGATGATAGGCAGGAGTTTCTTCCAAATCCTTCAGTCTGACGGAGGGGCAGCCCTGGCCCAGAGAGGGCTCAGTCATGGTGGCAGGGAGCTCTGGCAGCAGCACGGGGTGGCCTGTTTTCAGGCTCTCCCAGTCTCACAGCTGGAGAAGCAGGAGGATCAAGTATCGGACACAAGTTACTGTACACACGTCAAATCCATCAGAGCAGAGAGAAAGATGGGGTGGGCAGAGGGAGAAAGCAGAACCAAGAGCCTCCTGCCTGCTTCAGTGTTACAGTACTGCACCTGCTGTTAGTGGCAGCGCTGCCACTTGTATCTTCTTCAAAGGACTGTCATCTTCACATCAAGGTGAAGGTAAGGGCTCGACTTAACAGCGCACTTTTCACTAGCAAAGCCTGCAAAGCAAAGTAGGTCGGTGACTGCAGCTCTTGGATGTTTCCACCCCCTGCTAAAATGCAGCCAGGCACTGTGGCAGGCATTGTGCACCCGCCACCGCTTTGAGAAGGAAATGAGATTTGCTTTCCCACTTGACACTATGGAGGGAATTTCAGATAGGCAGAATGTAATTACTTGGCCTGGAGTTCGGCCAGGAGCGGGGCCCAAGACCCCTACCCTGATGTAAAGTGTCACAAAATCTCCAATGACTGCAAGTGTGAGGACCTCAGCTTTACGTCTCTGGCTGCTGTCATTGATTCTTCATGGCTAATTACCTAATAGTGACCCTTGCAGCAAAGCCAAAAAACAAACCTCGCCGCTTGAAACAATTCAAGTCCCAGAGACCGAAAACTATGCAAAAAATTGCTTGGTGCAGGATATCTTTTGACAGTAGGGAGCAGGTGGACAGCCAGCCTCCTGTGTCTTGCACTGGTTGCGTGCCACTCGGAAACCTACTGGGGTTTTTGGATGGGCAAACATAGCTTTAAAATGCGGCACCCCCAAAACACAAGCCTACTGTATCAACTGTATACCAGGGTCCCCAGAGTTTTGCTGTATGTAGTTGCCAGCTGGTTCCATTTATTTTTCTTCATTTTTCATATTTTGACTGTAATAAATAATTAATCCATGGCTTTGTAACTTGCTGACAAATACAAATGCATCGCATTCCAACGCAGTGTAATGTGTCACTCACAAGAGCCAACCTGCACGATGCAAAAAAGTGATGTGCAGAAAGCTTTGGAAAGTAGGCTAAACATCAACATCACCCACAAGAGCTCAGGGAAACTTTTTCTTCAAACTGTCCCTTAGAGGATATTCTGACTTGCTGTGGGCACCAGAACTAGGTTAGTATGTTCAAATCTACACAGGTCTAGTCGTCTTCCCACACGTTGGCTCGGCCCTTTACCCTTTTGTAGCTCCTTGCCTCCACAATCCCACGAACTTTTGGGAACATGGAAGACAAAACTTGCAACGTTAATTACTTAGAGCACTTCCCCTACTTTACAGCTCTGAGAATCTGAACCCCAGTAAACACAGTTTTTCTTCCAGGCAAAGACTGAACGGAAGGCAAGGAGGAAGTCGGTAGCAGAAGAGACAAAGGAGACTGAACTAGGCAATAATTAATCTGGGTGAGACCAGCATGTTTCAGAAGGGGCAGGACTACAAGACAGAAAAACCTCCCGCCTTTACAAAAAGGTGACTAGATAGTTGGCAGCAATGCCTGCAGGAGCAGAACAAGAGCAGCGACAAAGAATAGAGGCTGAATGCCAAGGTTCACAGCAAGGGTAGCAAAGCAGTGCAAGCTGCCATCAAAAGACAACAGGCAGAGCAAAGGTGGGAGGAGGAACTGTGCGATTATCAGAGAGAAATGCAGTGTGGACAACTCTGTGAGAGGGGTCACGCAATGGGATTGGGTGAGGCACCAAGCGGCAGTGGCAACCCAAAAGGGTGGTCTGCTGTGGAAGGCATCACCTCAGCTTTTTAGATTGAAAAAACATCCCCTGAGCCTCTCTTGAACATCAGCAGATGTTTGGGGTTTTGACATGCATCACTAGTTATTAGGAATACACATAAGGCTGATTTTCTCTTCTGACTGAAGCAGGAACCACAAAGATGAAAAATCTTGTAGTATTTTCACTTCATTTTCCCTACGCATATTTGTACCTATTTATTTTTCATTCTACTAAGACCTGAGACAAGGACAGAACAAAGGTGCACAAACCAAAAATTCATACTAGTCACAAAGGTTGTAGAGAGGAGCAAAACAATCCTGAGGAGGCTGTGAAATGAAGGCCTGTTCCCCACAGAATACTCGCCATGGTCATTTTAGAAGTACTTTTAAGTTTCAGCAAATATATAAAACACACTTCTCCATGTTATACTTTTCAAAACCCTCGTGTTACCCATGGACAAACTTCCTCTTCTACTCTCCTACTTTTCCTGAAGTGTTATCTGGCTCCTTCGACCAAAAGCAAATGTATGGCTGCAGTTGCCCATTGGCCACTGTTAGAAAGTGGGTATCAGTGGTGCTCTGATTCTGTGAGGAGTGGGTGACCAATTCTCCACTCCTGTTCTGCTTCCTAAATAACCATACAACCTTGCTGTTGCTGAGGAACACATTTATACTCCTCTAAATGTTGGCAGCTTTAGACAGTTAAATTGTGTCTCAGCCACAACGCAACTACTGACACCAGGGGAGCTCCATAATATCACTACTGCTGACCTTGCTGTTATCGGTGGTATGGATTGTCACACTCCTCTTCAACCATCAGCACAAACTTGCACACACTCACACATATGCTGCAACATACACACACTGAGCTCTGAACCTGAGAGCTGTGGCTTGCACGTGGCCCTACAGACAGATGAAAACTGGTGTGTCTCAACCTGCAAAGCAGAAGGAAGCTGGAACCCGTTGCTTCTCCCAACCTCTGACAGCTGTTCTCCCCCACAGACACCCTGAGAAGGAAGTTAGCGCTCTGACCTGCACGGGCTCAGGAGTGAGCTGGACAACGTGCTGCATACGCTCACTGTGGTGATGTCTGGACTCTTCCTCATAGATCACATCCCTCTCATGCTGGGGAAGGTTCAGGAAGCGGCGGATGGTGCAGAGGTTCTCCCAAAGGGTGCGGTTTTCTGGACTTGGGTTTTCTTTCCAGCGAAGCAGCTCACACAGCCAGCCCTGCAACGGTAGAGTCATCACAGTTAATTCACCAAGCACTGAGGAACCAGATGTGAGTGGAAGCTCAGCTAGACTTAAAGCTCTGTGCTCCGAGTTTCGCTGGGCTCGTTTCACACAGAACATCCCCTACCCTCAGATGCCCTCTGGTCTCAACAAATCCTTGATGCATTATATTTCCTGCAAGTTGGAGAAATAGACACAACCAGTAGTGCCTAACAGGAACCAGGAAGCACAGCATCTTGCCCCCTGTCATAATCATACCATGTTTAAAATGCTCTGATATAAATATTTTTCCTATAGAAAACCAGAGTTGAAATAAAGGTACATCTCCACTTCCGTTCAGAGCCCCTTTATTTCTTCATCCAAGCAAGGGAAAAGGAGACATAACTTCTGAGACTTGCCAACAACCTCATGCTAAGGGCTGCAGCTGCAGGACCAGAAATTCAACAACTACTGAAACTTTTAGAAGAAGATACCATCCAGTAAAGACCTCTGATCTGCTGTCATCATGTTGCATTGATTCTCCCAGCTCTGAACCCCACCAAAATTTTACAGCTTTAAATAATCAGATGGCCACATAGAAGACGCAACCTCACAGAAAGGGAATCCTCTAGTACTCAGCACGAAAGCAGCAAACAGGGTCCTGCAGAAGTTACTAGAGAGATCAAGATACTAGGTGGAGGTAATTCTAAACCCAACTACAAATCATAATAGTAGATTTTATTCCTGCTATATTGTTTTAAGGTTGGTTTGAAACGCCTTCAAAAAGTTACCACTGTAGGAAATCCTGCAGGACCTCTCCACAGGGGCTGAGAGCTCACACCGCTGAAGGGGAAAGCACCAGTGCTTCGGGAGGAAGAAACCACCCTAAAACCACAAAGCCAAGCAGGGAGCACGATGGCAATAGCTGTTAAGGTGAGGACAGCCCCGGTGCATTGAGCAGGTGTGGTGGTGACCCGGCATCTCCAGCAGATTAACCAGGGACTACGGTGGCTGTTGCGACACCTGCCTTGGGGGGGACAGCCAGCCCCGTCCTGCCTGCCAGCACCGGGGTCCACTTGGGGCTGGGGACAGCGAGTCCCCTCCTGTGCCTGCGCACAAGGAGACGTAATGCAAATGACAGAATACGAGAAGATAATGCTGAGGATGCTGTCAACGCGCCTTACTGACTCCTGTCAAAATATTTTACCTAGTAGCTTTATAACCCATCATTTTCGAGCTACAACTCAGCATTTTGACACCATTTTGACAGGCACCTTGCAATACCTAAAAGATAGCTTGATTAATGTTAAAAATGTTCGGTACGAGAAGTAGCCAAAACTGTATTTTTCCGAACAGCGACTAGAGCAAGCTGAACAGCCAGGTTCATTACCAGCCCACGTGGGGTTTTTTGGTATTGCTTTTTTGTGTAACAACTTGTAAGCCATTGACAACTTCTACCGTGCACTCTGAACCCCGTATATAATATCATAAGCCGTTGTTTGTCTTACTCTCCACTGTCTTCTGCCTTCACCCCCCCAAAAAAGGCAAGATTTGATTATCTCCGCTGCATCAGCCAAGACAGCAACACCAGCTGTTCTCATTGTGCAGCCTCTTCCTCACGGCCTACATGTTAATAACCTGATCATTCCATTTTCTCCTTCAACTGCCGGCTGCAGCACAGCGAAGAGACAAAAACCCAGGCCCATCTGCAGCAGCTGTAGGCACTGAACTGTGAAGCCACCAGGGATTTATAAACTAATCTGTAACACAACACTGCCTTGTTTTTACAAGTGAGAGGCCACATTTGTGCAGACCTGATCTTTTCTTGCAATAAACTAGGAGGGTTGGGGGGGAGGAGGCAAGGATGAAAACAAGATATCTAATCATTTACTTAGGGAAAAAAATTTCTGTATTATATTTTCAAAGTATTTTGACTGGTATTTGAGTAATCTCTCAGCCAGGTGATGTCTGCATAATGTGGTTTGGCCACATCCCTTGCCTTCAGTTCTATTTTTTTTTTCCTCCACTCAGAAATCCCCCAAAACTTTCTCTCTTTTAGAGCAAAGACAGGAAGAAAATCTCTCAGCTCCACAGTGTTTTCTCAGGGGTTCCTCCATACAAAGGAAATAATTTTTGAAATGGAAAATAAACATCTGTGGAAAAAACAAACTCCCGTTTCTCCCTATTTTCAGTGATCTGAGTAAGTCTCCAACTGAACTCTTTCAAATGTTTCAAGCAGGTATGTTTAACATCTCCCGAGGGATGCTGCAGCACGGAGACCAATCATTTAACAGAAAATGCACACAAAACCCCGCACCTGGTGGAGCTGGAGCCCAGCTCAGGGCAGCCCCGGGGGGAGGAGAGCTCCTGCAGCTCTCCCAAAGGCTGCACGGTGCCCGGCTCCACCGGAGCCTGGGGACAGTTTGGTGGGGCCACCTCCCCTTCCCAAAGTTGGACCGGCTAGCCCGACGGTGACTGCTGCATTTTGATTTATCTGTCCCGTTATAATCAGCACTCATTACAATCACTTAGAGCAACACCACAGGTCTCATTATGGACTAGGCACTCGCTGCCATTAGTCTTTAAGAAGGATAGTGCTCAATTTGCCTGGCAACATGCGAGGTCCTGACCTTGGAGCTATTAGGGAAAAGATTAGACTGCAGTGTGACCATGTGTGCAGACATGAGCAAACCAAATTAATTTCTGGCAAAGGGAGGCACCAGGCAAAGACCCCGCCATCCTGAGGACACCTGAGAACTTCTCCATTCCCCAAAGGAGATAAGCTAATGGCATGTTTAAAGGAGCCTGGTTCTGAAGGTGAAGCACATCCGTGGTATTTAGAGAGATATTAATCCAGTTTCCCCACAAAGTATTTGCTTGGCTGATCAGATTAAGGGATCTAGCCTTCAACAGCACACCCCCACCACAGCAGGCCCCAAGAAATCTGTGATACTTCACAGCCTCAGACATATTGCACCATGTGTACCCAGCTGCTACAATAATTAGCTTATGAATGTATCAGCTGGTTCTGTGATTTTTATAAATAATAACTAACCTACAGAGCAGAAAGATTTTCATGAGCCTAATATTAGCAAGAAATTGCAAGGTGCGCCTAACTCTGAATTGTCATTGTGCTAAACGCCCTGTCTTCTCTCACGTTGTGCGGGACTGGATCTCCCCCAACACCATTTATAAATATTTATTTTTGCATCCGCAACGGCAATGTATTTGTGGCAGCTTTCTTCACAACAGCCATCATTCGCTCACCCCCACACATACACACGCGTACCCACTGTGTGCATGTGTACGCTTATCTGCATCAGATCTGTCCTTTCATTGCTCTTTTCCTATCCTTTCCTTTATTTATTCAAGCATTCATTCTCTTGCCTATCCATTCAAGACCCTATCTATCCATCTATGGGGCTCCTTATTAGGCGATAGCTTCGGCTAATACATGAGAAAACACAGCACTGCAGCTTACTCACACATTCTTTATGACTGCGAGTAACTGCCTTCCCCATGCACAGATGAAAAGTCTGCATCAGATTTTTTTAATTATTTATTTAAATAATCTTAGCACGCCATCCAAGAAAGTTTTGCAGTACCAGGCAAAAAAAAAAAAAAAAAGTGTAAATGTCAAATAAAACAGTGACAGATGACAGTATTCTCTATTGAATAGCACCGTTTCTTCGTGCATGTTCAATGAGAACTCATGAATTATTAATATGCAAATCTCCTTTTTCTGTTAAAAATCTCAACTTGGGGTTTTTTGGTTGCAATTTTTTTTATTTTCTCTTATTTATTTCTTTGGGTCTGTGTATGTTACACAGAGCTTTCCAGGAGAATTATTTCATTTAAGAAATGCTAACATACAGAAATTCTTGGAGCTACAGCCATTCACAGTGAATTTTCATCTATAGCTACATTTATTGGCACGAAGAAGGAAAAGTGAAGAAGTAGATGCTATCTCACCACCTTTTCCCCCACTTATCCACAACATCTGAGCTCACTGCGTAACGAGTAAATCCAACTTTTGTGAACATATTCCGAAAACCTAACAAATAACGCATCCTCCCCAAGATCCACGATACGCTGTGCTTCTGACCCTGCCTCCTCTGCACATCGTAACTCTTGCTCCACTGCACAAACAGCCCCCTTGATTGCCACAGAGTTACCAGGAGAGTTTGATACGCGCCAGTGTCAAGATGGGTGGCAGAATCTGGCCCTTAATGCCAGCTTCTAAGGTTCTCAAATGGGAATGTCTTCCATTAAAAATAAGAGGAGGAAAACCAGCACAATTAAAGGGTGCTTTTGGCTCTACAGTCAGGCACACCCAGTGCTTGTGGTTACAAGGAATTCTGCTCAGAACTTCCTTCATTTCACCCCAAAACTTCTAGAGGCATCGAGAATGCAGCCCAATTTAGCTCATTAAGGAGAGCTGCAGAGAAGTGCTGGCCTCTATTTTTGTTGTTCTCAAGAGACAAGATAAACATTTTCTAAGCATTTTATTTGATAAAACAAATAATATCATATTAATGTCCTATTTTTAACCTCTCTCTCTGTCTCCTAATCAAATACATTTCCACATAGCTAAGCAAACAACAACAAAAATCTGCAGGAAGCCAGCCATTCCCATTGTGCTTTTATGCTGTTAAAGAAACAGTGTGCTTACTACACCAAAGCATTAGCCTTGGCGCACTCAAACCCCCTTGAGGGACAGTTAGCTGATGCAGCAGTGGCGAGCTGCATTCTCTGTCACTTATCCCTGAACCCTTCTTAGCAGCTTCACCCTCGCACTTTTGCTAGACTTACCCTGGAGCAGGGGAGGCTGCTCCGGCAGCCAGGAGGTACCAGACCACAATAAGGTCAGGTTTTCTAGTGCTCAGCGAAGGCATGCACAAATATCCCAACTCCCGTAACTGCTTCCTGCAGATCTGCTGACTTGCACATCAGCCGAGGACCAAATTTCTGATTAAAGGATGAGAAGGCATGTGGGAAGAGTTCAGGCTGAGTTATGC